TATTTTGTCTACAAATTTTTTTCTGTTTATCTTGTTTTTTATTTTTTGAGAAAAACTTTTCTTGCAGGTGTATATTTTGTACATATATGTAATAATATTGATATTCTGATACTGATAGGTTTTTAATACGTGAAGTCCATTACAACGTAACAGCTGTATCATTTTGAATAGAGAAGAACTCGGAGGGAAATGATGATGTAAATGGGCTAAATTTAAAATACATTATATATTTATCAATAAATATTATTATCAATAATAAATTTACCATTTGAATATAAATATAAAAGTGCAAATTATAACTATTACATATTATATATGTAATATTCAAAATCTATACGTAATAAAACTTGACATATATTTTAATATATTTATATATATTAATTTTGTGCGATTAATCCATGCGTTATAATTTATAGTTAAAAACTTAGAGAGATCAAATTAAGTAAATAACATCAAGAATAGTTTGATAAAAAATAAAAGTATAGTGATAGAAAAATACCATAAGATTTTTAATAAAAAAACAGAAGTAAATTAAAAAAACAAAAGTGAAACTAAAATATTGAGAAATGCAGTTAATAATAATAAAAAAGTTAAGAAAGGTTTATGGAAATGTAGCAATTATTATAAATATTGCGTCATTCTATATTATAATATACATAATTATTATATCGTGACTGATACTCACTGACGATATAAATATTCATAGATACCTATTATGAAATACCTCAGTATAATCACTTTGCATCATCCGCAAGACACTGAGCACTATGGCTAAACAACAAATTTTAATATAATTTTCCTCATCGAATCGTTTTTATTATTTTTCTTTGCTTAGTGATGTATATCCTTATAACTGTAATTATCTTTATAAATATAGTTATTCACCGATTCTCACCTTTGATGTAACGGGGAAAGCTAAAAATTGAATTGATTTCCGACAGGCTATTATTATGTAGTGGATTTATGTCAAAATCGGAATTCAAGTGAAGAGATTCGTATTGACTTCAAACTATGAAAAAATCCATCATGTTAGAATTATTAAAGATCTGAAAATTCATAATTTTGTAATAATTTCAGTGCGTTAAATCGGAAAATATGTTTGTATTGCGGCTGATATAAATGCGTATTATTACAAAAGATGCGTTGCCATTTTTTATCATCAAATTTGAATACAAGTATATGTAATAAAGGTAATGTAAAGCAATCTTAACGATAGCTTCTTCTGCATATAATGCAGTAAGATCATTGTGTATCCAAAAATGATTCCACTCGAATGGAGTAATATTATATGGATTATATTGCTAAACCATTGATGTGCTATATTAAATACTATTAATTACACAATTTCCATTTTTTGTATTACTGTTACATTATTTAATTCTTCATCGTAGACAAGATTCCGTTCTCTAAGATTTGTTATAAATGTTTTTACATACCAAATCATTGTTAATTGATATGAAATAGTATAATTTATTTTACGCACAATTTCTTTCTTTTGGTGATATAATATATGTATAAAAATTCTACATGATTTTAAACTGTTAAGAATATTTTTAAAAGTAAAACTTTAATACATTAAAACAAGGTATAAAATTTAATTCTTTAATATATCTATTATTTTGTTAATAAATATGTAATTTCATTAAAATTATTTTCACATTTTTTAAATTAAAATAATTTATAATTTAGTCACAGGAATTCCTTCTCGTTTTTGCATATACAAAATTTAAATTATTACAGAAATTTATATAATTTTTATAAATTTTTAACTTTAATAAGGTAAACTAAAATTTTAATATTGAATCTGTAAAATGTGATTACATAAATATGTATATTTATCAACACCGCTTAATTAAAACATTTGTAAATTCATTATTTTATACATATTAATTTAACACGTGAAACCTTGCGTAAATAAATTTTTAATAATAAAATAATTGCAGCATTTAATATGTTGCTGTGTTTTAAATTATGTATCACCTGTGAAGTATGAGTCCCAATTTCGATGTACTGTAGTGCGAAAAATTAGGAATAGTAATATAATCTATTTTTAGAATTCTTATTATGTTAAATTCCAATTGCAAATGTGACGTGACATTTTTAATAACTTGCTTTGCGAATTCAAGAGAGTGCTTACAAGAATTTCCTTTACACCACAAAGAAATATTTTCGTCAATGAGAAATGTAATTAGTCACTGCAATCGCAACTTGATAAGTAGACATTCGAGGAGTAAAAATGTGTCCACACTAAATTATCATTATCTAAATGATTGACTCGTATCAGAATGATAGATACAACAATAAAATTTCGATTATGCTTTACAGATATATTAAAATGGTAGGGTTTTAAAGGGTTTTAAATCGCGGCACATCCCAACGAGGAAACAGTCGCCTGAGTGTATGTTGCGAGCAACCATCTATCACATAATTTTTATAATTTTAATGATTCAAATTTTTTTGACAATATTGTAAAATAATGTACTTTTAACTGTAATATTATTAATACTAAAGGAATATTTATATTTAACTTCTAATTATAATATTGTTAAAATATATTGAATTGTAATGCAATAAAATAATAATGTGTTTATTATATCATATGTAGCATGCCTTTTAACTTTTAACATTTACTCACGCAATTTTTCCATCTCTGTTTACGTAGGAACTTCTAAAGAAGCTGGCCTTTTCGTTGTCATTTGTTACACCGGTAAATTCCATTTCCAACTGATATAAAGACCGGCAGGTAATACCCTAATAAAATACAGGTGTGCAAAATTCGTTTCTGGTACCGTAAGGTGTAAGTTATTCCGGTATATAAACTATGTCATAGCTGTTAGCCAAAATCAACTCTATGGTTAAAAGATTTAAATGCAGACCTTCTGCATGTAATAGTTATATTTTGTGTCGAATTACGAATATTGATTTTTGCTCTGGATTTGTCACGAAAGGTAAGATTGTAAGATGGATATTTTATATCTTTCTCCTCGTTATCGAAAATATTTTCAATATCTAAAGTTATAGGTCTATGTCATAGTGCTGCGGAACCACGTTCAGCAAACTCGTGACATCTCTCGAAGTGCGTAAATTATATAGCTTTACACCGGTAAGGACAGTTATTGTGATGATGATTATTACGCTAATACACATTTGTGCCAGGTTCATGTTGAATCAGTTTGTTTCAAGTACTTGACCCAGATAGCACACAGAGTCCAAAAGAATTCATTAGTATATTCAGTTTTATGTCATCAATTCTGAGTTCATTTTCAGCAAAAAGAATCCCTTTTAGAAAAAGAATTCTTTTTGCATCTGAAAATGAACTCAGAATTAGTGACATATATATGTATAACTGAGTTCTTTTTTCATTCTCTATGCTATCTGGGGACGGAATAATTTTACATAAAGTTTCACATAAATTTTACATAAAAAGAATTTTAAAATAATGTTATGAATGTATCTGTTTCGAAATACTGATTATTACGTGGCAATTCGTCGACAAGCGTAACGTCATTATGCAATAAGCAATATTTAAATAATATTAAACGTTTTTAATTTTAATAATATTTCTAGCACACACATCGCGAGGAATATGTACGTATGTTATTATAATAATTTTAAATTATAATATGAAAAGGTTTAAAGCTTTATTTCTATTCTTGCAGCTATTGAATTGGAATCTATAAATAATTATAAATATAACGTACAATATTTTATCTTAAACTTCGTATCTCATAGTATTATCAAATGGCGTTAATTTATGTACTTTTTTGTTACCTTTTTTATCTAATATAAACGTTTTACATAACGTTTTATATAACGTTTTATATTAACGTTTTATTTACATAAAACGTCATAAATTACATCTACAAGCATCTCTGCAAGATAATTTCATAAATGCAAAATTATATACTTGACTTAAGACAGTTTCATTCTTTGAATAGATATACACATAGAAAAATTGTTTTTTTTTATAGACTTACTCCGCGTATTGAAATTGTCCAATTAAGATGTAATTTTGTATTACAGTCTATACTATTTATCAATTATCGCGAAACACGAGATGTCTTATTGAAAATACAGTTTCAGTGATTGCGATCTTACTCCTTTGAGAGGTCACCGAAAACTAACGATATATTAACGATATTACGGATTTCACATTAAGTATACACAGTGCCACTTTCAATAAACATTTCTTTAATTATTTTAAATATTCTAGTCGATATAAGCAGTACTGTTAACAAATCTTTTCAATCAAATATTTATTACCTGCAGTTATGCGCAAACTAATAGTGATATCAATATAAAGGATCTAATATAGTAAATCTAAAATGTTAAGACCTCTTTATTATGGAATCGATATTCATAGTCTCTGATTTTATTTCATGACCTTTTTAAATAAAGTCTTAAAATAACGTACGGTTATGAGATTAATTTATAACATTTTAAAATGCTATTTCAGCAGCTGTTTTAAATACAAAAATTGGATGATAGATTTTATTGCTCGATAATTTTAGGTTTCGTCGATTCTTCTTTTTGGATAATATTAACAGAGTATTATTTATTCAATAAAATATTTAGAATATTTAATGCAAATATATTTTATATAATAGTAGAGAATACTTGGGTCCCTTTCCTTGTTAGTATTATAGAAAACCCCCCCTGGGATGTATAAGAATTAAAAAAAAATAAAGGCCAATAAACAAGTAAAGATTTTGATAATAAAGTACTAAATATGTTCTTTTATATTAATCAATAAAATTGACGAGATGGAACGTTTCGGCATAGCCATCTTCAGCCATTTCAATAACAATTTGTCTCTGCGCGCGCCTCCCGTATTTAAAAATTTCAACTTTGATAATTGCAATTCATCTATCACTTCGCAAAGCTTAATTCTTGCATGTTTATAATAATGCAGATTAATAAAAAGTGTAATTGTAATTGTAATTTTACGCGATATTAACAGAAATTCGGGTAGGAATTTGGGAAGGTAAAAATAAAACTCGTTTTTGAAGGAAATGCGATATAATTTCTTATTAATATACATTCATATATATATATATACTATATATAAAGTAAAAAGCTGTGTACACGCCTCTACCGATGTCTACATCTATGTATAAATGTACAGATACGCGCGTACGCTCGCGCGTGAAGACCCGATTTATATTAATTCGCTTAACGATTTAACGAGATAGCTTAAGTACAAAGCGCGACAATCGCAGAGTTCGTTGCCGTGTATATACGATACCATTTGTCAATACGTTTATCCCTCCGTCAATCCAGTTCACCCGTATTACAAATGAACTTACATAAACGACATGACAAAAAGTATGCAGTGTAGTACGTAGCTTAAATCAGTCGTAAAATCGTCAGGCGCCCACCGAAATACGCGATAATGCGGGCAAACTTTCTTGAACGCTTACACTACACGCCCACGTTGGCACTGTTATCCGTGAGAAATGTCGGTGAAAAGAGTCACCAATGTTAATCGTTGCAATTTTTCGACATGCTATAGTAATTGAAAACTCGTTGAATTAAATCTGGATGTAGTTCGCTTCGCAAAGATTTTGTTGATAATGAGCTGCCCAGATGAAAATTTGTTAGCAACTAAACAGAAAAGTTCCGAACGCGTTCGACATTTAACGGCATATACAAAAGATTCCAATCGCATTGTTCGCGCAACGAATTAACTTGCATCATCAAGTCATGTATTTACACAAATAAATTTATCGCGTAATTTAACGCGCGATATTAACGCGACATTAGTATAAAATTTTCGTATGGCGAATCGTTGTTTACGCTAAATAATTTTCAAATTTGGCAAATCGGTGATTATACCGACTGATTTTCGTGAGTTTTTGCTTCGCGATTCGATCAATTTCATCACGACGTGAAGCTCGCACGATAACCGTACGATAACCGTTTATATCGTCTCTAATCCAGCGATCATCTGAGAATAACGTTGTCGAAGGTTAGATCTCTGGTCTCGCGTTGGGCGCCAGACTTTTTGAACGGATTCCACGGGAGCCTTCTGACTACGTGCGCCGTAGTGACGGATCCCGCCGGGCTCGGCTGGCCGGAAGAAACTCCAGAAGAGCTGCTCGCCGAGACGCTGCCTTTATCGTGATGGTTGTTGGGTTTTCCTGGTTTCTAAAATAATTAGTTTCTATCGTCGTACTATCGCATTGACTTAGATCATTCGTTAGAGAAATATTTTAATTACTTGTTTGATTATTGTTAATATTTTTCAATAAAAAAAAAGTATAAAAATAAATTAATTAAACAGAAAAACTTGTTATTAAAAACCAATTAATCTCAATCGTCTAATCTCAAAAATATATTCTTCAAAGTATTCTTATTAGTTAAATACGTTATATTTTATTCGTTATCGCATCATACTTTTTTTATTAGAATGATATTAGTTATATAATAGATTTTATCATTCACCTTTAGATAATTCCTGTCCATTGGGGTGACTAATTTTAAATTTATAAAGTCGCCGCATTGTTTTATCATCCGCACGACTTGCTCATGGGACGCCCACTTGACGTCTTTGTCGCCAATGCCGACTATGAAGTCGCCTTCCTTCATCCCGCCCACCTAGAATAAGAGAAAATTATTCTCGTTATATTCATTGTTATAATAATTGCATAAATACATTATATAATTATATTGTACAATTATTTACACAATTATACAACAAAAAATTAAAGACAATTGTGAATGTGTTGTACAATGAGGATCGTTAGTAGATTATCTTACATCAGCCAGCGAATTGTGATCGACGGCGGCTATTATCACCGGAGCGTCGCCGCGTACGCTAAATCCGAAGCCTTCGCCGTCAGGACCTCGTTGAAGCTGCACCAATCGCGGGGCGGTCCAGTGTCGTTTGGCGGAAAATATCGCCACGGGTCCCAGCGACTTAAAAAGATCGTCCACTCCGTGCTGCCCGAAATCCGGGTGAGTGATGCTGAGTTGAAATTTCGTCGAGGCTACGTTTGCAAATAGAAAAGAACAAAATAAAAAATGCATTTTTATCATGATTGATTTTCAATGTAGGAGACAAAATTATTTGTTTCTTATTAAATTAATATATTTTGGCTAAAGCCTTGTCTTAAAACTTAAGATTAATCTACAATGTGCTCTTTGTTTCTTGTTTTTTTTCCTTCCTTGCGTTTATCGACAATCATGTTTCTTGTCTCACGTGCTTTCTGTCTCTTCCAAAGTTCATCAACTTTTATCTCGAACGACAGAAAATAAAGAATCCGGATAAGAGACAAAAGGCAAGAGGCAAAAGGTAAAAAGTTAAAAAGTAGGAAACGGGAAGCAAAGTAGTAGTTGTAGATTAGGCTTAAGTGTCGTACCGATAATATCCGGTGGATCTAGGAGTTCTCGAAAATCATCCTCGCTACCAAATCTATTATAGCTGTCGAGCGTTGCTTCTTGAGCTTTCTTCAGAACCCTCGCTAGCGCTTGTTTACCCTTCAATTCGCGGCACATTCTCTGGAGTCGTTGACTCTCGTCATGCAAAACGAGAGCTTCTCTGAGATGTGCCTTGCCTACAATAAGAGATCCTATTCATTTATGTTCCTTATAGATCAGAACAAATAAGAAGAACCAAAGATAAGAAGAATCAGAAGATAAAAAGAATCAGAACCAAAAATAGTTGGTGATGTAAAAAATAATATTTGAAAGGCTTGCCGCAGCAATAGGTTAACCTTTTTTGTAATAACGGAAAAAATAAACTCTAAAGTTAAAGTGATAAACTTTATTATAATTTATTTTCTCCGTCTCTATAAAATTTCGTCGAGCCATACAAGTAGAATACCCTTACGAAAAAAAACCCTCATTTTTTGGTGTTAACACTCAAATTTGGGCGTTTACCATCAAAATTGAGTGTCCGCCGTCAATATTGAGTGTATATTGAGTGTTGATCGTCAAAATTGGGCGTCGGTTAAGCGTTGAGC